TTGTGTTAAAGAGATATTTAGTGAAAAATGATCAAGATGGTTGTTAGAATGGATACTTCGGTAGCGTGGCTTCCGAAGTTTGGAGAACGGCGTGTTCAGGTATCTACGGTGGCCCGTGAAGATTCCTATTACAAGTATATGTCAGAGATTCTTGACATTTTCAGTCAAAGATTATTTGACATTTTCGTGCCTATCCTGTTACCGTTTACCTACTACTTAACTGCTGGCTTCAACTGCTATAGGTCAAATGAAAATGACATTTCAGCAGGGACTGACATTTATAAACATTTGGTAACTGTAGTTTAGAAAAGGTCATTAGGTCAACAGGTGAACAAGACCTAAATCTCACTGACAGTAGTGACCAAACAATGCTAATACAGCCGTTTTATAGGGACACTTAAGTCCTGCTTTATCACCTGTACTACCCACTTCTCAGTGAATCGTTCTGCATATATAGTTGATCGGGATTCAATTTAACTTTTGTAGCAGTAGAACTGATCTGAAATTTTACTGTAGTTGCTTCATATTCACATTTTTTCTCCCATTTTTAGTATATTTACAATTCATTTTACTATTATGGTTTATTTACAAAACAGCTAATAGCTAATATTCACAGTCCATACATTTGCAAAACGTCTTGTGTTTACTGAGTTTGTATGAATTATCTTTATTCATAAATATCAATTAATCTTGTGCTTCCTGGTAGCCTTTGTGCTAGAATATCTTAGCAAGGTGTCAGTTATTTTGTCCATCCCACCTGAAGGCCCAAGGGAATGGGACAGATATGATGTTATTGTTGATTGATCAGGTTCATGTGCTGTTAAGAGGTATTTGTGGTTTGAGAGAAATGTGAAATATACACCATCCAGACTACAGAAACGATCTCTCAGAAAATGTCAGCAATGGCCCTAGATGTGAGAACAGTACACACCCATCATGCCGTCATGATCAACTCGGAATACAATCTAAAATATTCACTCTGATCATGAGCTCTAGCTGTAAACTCTGAAGTAGATCTAAACCTGTCCCATTATGACTTTTAATTATGATTTTTGTATATTGATATCCACTTGTACATTATAAATTATAAGACCTGTTAAGAGGACACTATAGAGTCCTCTGTTTCAAAATAGTAAATAATCTATACAGTTCCTTAGGTGTACACAACAGGTCAGTAAAACGCCACTGTAGCTGATGCCCATAACCCCTTGTCTTTCAACACCACACCCATATAATCATTATATACTGTGTACAGGAGGTCAAGCAGTTGGTATACTTTTTGGCCAAATATATTTATTTAAATGCTTGTATTGAAAGTTTTTAGAATATATTTCTGTAAATGTTCATTTGTTAGGTAATGACTATAAAATTGAGTAAAATTGAGTATAAAGAGTAACACCTTGGCCTGGTAATGGTTCAGTGCTCGTGCTGGCGGGTATCGGGAGTTATACTTTGCCTTGTAAGATCTTGTACTGGTAGGTACTGAGTTATACATTGGCCTGGTAATGGTTCAGTGCTTGTGCTGGCGGGTATGGGGGGTTATACTTTGCCTTGTAAGGTCTTGTACTGGTGGCTACAGAGAGTTATACCTTGGCCTGGTAACAGTTAAGCGCTCGTGCTGGCGGGGTTGGGGGGGTATACTTTGCCTTGTAAGATCTTGTACTGGTGGGAACAGAGAGGTATACATTGGCCTGGTAATGGTTCAGTGCTTGCGCTGGCGGGTATGGGGAGGTATACTTTGCCTTGTAAGATCTTGTACTGGTAGGTACTGAGTTATACATTGGCCTGGTAATGGTTCAGTGCTTGCGCTGGCGGGTATGGGGAGGTATACTTTGCCTTGTAAGATCTTGTACTGGTAGGGACAGAGAGTTATACCTTGGCCTGGTAACAGTTCAGTGCTCGTGCTGGCGGGGGTGGGGGGTTATGCTTTGCCTTGTAAGGTCTTGTACTGGTGGGGACAGAGAGTTATACCTTGGCCTGGTAATGGTTCAGTGCTTGTGCTGGCGGGTATGGGGAGTTATGCTTTGCCTTGTAAGGTCTTGTACTGGTGGGTACAGAGAGTTATACCTTGGCCTGGTAACAGTTAAGTGCTCGTGCTGGCGGGTTTGGGGAGTTATACTTTGCCTTGTAAGATCTTGTACTGGTAGGTACAGAGAGTTATACCTTGGCCTGGTAACAGTTCAGTGCTCGTGCTGGCGGGGATGGGGAGTTATACTTTGCCTTGTAAGATCTTGTACTGGTGGGTACAGAGTTATACATTGGCCTGATATTGGTTCAGTGCTTATGAGGGTGGGTGTATAGAGAATCCCATTTGGTTTCATCACTTCCAGTTCGTGTGAATTAAGGTAGAAAATACTAAGGTCTCATCACCTGAGGACGATGACACTGTCTCAGCAGACTGTTGTCTCTGACTCAGCACCGCCCCCACCTGGTGATGAGGCTGGATATTGTTTACTAGGCCATGTTACAGTGGCTGATTCACAGCAGCAACAGCAGCTGTACCTTAACATTGTACATATATTAATAATTACACTCATTGAACTCCTCATAACATTTTTTGCTTTAAAAGTTGTCTGATTATTCACAATATCCAAATAAATCATAAAAGTAGAAGCAAATATTTTGTTTCCCAGTTGTAAAAATAATCTTGAAAACTTAAAAAATACCTTTGTTTTATAGTGAAACAGACCAATTCTTAATAGTTCAGTATAGAAAAATTAACACAGATACGTAAGTAACTTGTATACATGTTACATGTTGTTTTTCCCCTTATGAAAATAGGTATTGCTATAAAAAGGATATTATTCACTGCCATATACTGCTGTGAGGCAGAATATCTTTCTGGCATTTTGGTGAAGTTGTCGCTGTTTGACATTTCAAAGACATTTAAGTCCTTTTCATTAGAAACAGGTGAGTCAATTCTAAGACTGTTGCCCTTTGACGAATTTGGAGTTACGCCATCACTGTCATCTATAACATGTCATCCGTAGCCTTATTCCTGGTGCGATAAGTGTCAAGGCTGTGTATTTACCAGTAGATAGAGACATTAATAATGCATGTTTCAAAGGTTGAGCTTCTACCAGATAGTTAAGGTATATCCTGTATCCTGGTGCTGTTTCCAGTGGGCTGATGTGTATTCAACACAGTGAATTATTTCTTCAGGTTCAACACTTCGTATCTTTCAGTGGGGTCGCGAAAGAGACCGACATGTTAAAATCTAATTTTGGATTACATATCTGAATTCTGATGTTAATTGGGCAATATGAGTTACCAGGGGGCGAAATACCTCAATGTTGAGGTAACCAGAGATAAGCCTGGTCCAGTTCCCCTTCACTTGTACATGTACAGTATATAATGTTGAGGTAACAAAGGGTACAACTAATTCTAACTTAAACATGTCTTTATGGTGTGACTTAAAATTTCTAATAAAAGGTAGTTAAAGTAGAATTTGTTTAGATATTTATACTAAAACATTATAAGGGTCAATCAATACATGAAACTGTATTGTGAGCATGGAAGATAAATCTTTTTATAAATATTCACTCTAATGTACATGTATGAAAAAAGTGAAAATAATGCTGTTTTTATTTATATTAATGTGTACTATAAATTGGTAAACAAAGGGTGTGTTTCTATGATTATGATCAATCTTTAATAAAGAAAACCAGTGTCTTTTATGATATTGAAGCAACAGTAAGACTGAGTAATGGCGATCTGACTCTTTCGTTTATGTGTACTAGAGAGTGTCGACATAATATGCTGTGAAGTGTATCGGATGACCTAGTGCTGCGAGTAGGAAGGGGAGGGGAGGCTTTGTCCTGTGTGTAGGGGTATAACCTAGAGGACAGTGTGGGCAGGTTACAACATCGCACATCATGTTCCACCATCAATAGTGTGTGATGACAAAGACAGTTTATGGCTCACGATCCTCCATCCTCGGTGTAGTAATGATGCTAACTTCACCACACAAAATACAACAGAACACTGAATTCTGCTGGTAAACACTGATATTGTCATTTAATGTAACAGAAAAGGTTTGCTTGTCAGGCAAAGATGGAGTGATCGCTTCAGTAAGCATGTGTTGGTTAAACAGATCAAAGAGTGTGTCATTCTACGTCAAGAGTGTTGTTGTCCTACGCCAGAGTGTTGTTGTCAACACTGGGTACACTTGTACTGGAAAACCAATAAATCATCAATACTGACCTTGACACAGTGTAAGGATTAATAACCTACTCCTCTCAAACATCCCACAGGACTATAATTTATCAGTGAATTTTCCGGCCAACTTTTTCATAAAATCTAAATCTCCCTGATTTAGCCTACGTCTCATTCATTATTAGAAGTACTTGATGACCCTTTTATGTAACCAGGATGGGCAATCTTTTACAAGGTTTATTATTTTCAATTCGTTTCTTTTGAAATGTGACTTATGAAGTATAACTTTAATTGTATGGCCTTAGCTCTTATTTCATCAAAGAATGCAGGTGATTTTGTTAAAATACAAGTGACAGGTGATTTTGTTAAAATACAAGTGACAGGTTTTCCACAGCTAAACTCAGAATAAAATGTTTTTGATAAACAGCTTATCCTTGAATACAGGTATTTTTAATAGCTAATCTCAGAATGAAAGTGTTTTTAATAAACAGCATATTCTTGAATACATTTTTTTTTTTTAGAGATGGTTCATCTGAGAATATTGTCGTTCTTACTTTTATCTTTCACAGATATAGATGCCAGTATCATAGAACAAGTTAATTTCATTATGATGTTGGTATCTAAATGTTTTTATGTATAAACTGCAAGTTTATTGTTTCTTTTTAAATGACAATAAACTGGCGATAAATGTTATGAATCGGAACTGGTTATGAAGAACCGGAATGAAACTTCTCATAAACATTTTTTGCATCTTTTTTTTGGTTTGTGTTCAATATACCGTAATAATTCTTATGTACGGCCTCAAGGTGATGTTTCTAATGTTCTTAAACCTTGCTGTTTTGTAGGCTGTTGAAGTTCGGGACGTTGAAGGACAACAGCATTACAGACTGTAGTCAGGTGACACTGCTGCCCACCCTGGAAAGTGGATTTTCTGTAAGTCCATACATTTCACATAACTAGCAGTGAAAGCACTCTAAGTAGTGTTCTCAAAGTTTTTAAAGAGGTGGATGACTTGAAAAAAGCAAGTTGAACATTTACATCTTACAGGTATTCTGAAAAAATAGCTGGTTAAATGTTAGTGGATAAAGCAAAGTCTACACTGTTCACATTATCAAGAGTCAGTGCTTTCCAAGTCTTCACATTATGGACCTAATTTCATTTTAGCCGTAGGCTATATCAAAATTTATATAGAAGTATTTCTTAAATGTCTAAACACACTTTCAAATAAGTGACATATATCAAATATTTTGTCAACCTTTGAGAAATGTTTCCAACTTTGTAGCAAGGTTATTGTAAGGGAGATAATACACTTAGAAAACTCACACAAAATCTTTTTAAGGTAATAGGAATGTGTCACCATTTCTCAGTAGAATTTCTTCTTTTAAGGTTATAGGATTTTGTCACCATTTCTCAGTAGAACTACTCAAATTTTGTAGTTATATTGCTTTGAAGTAAAGAAATTTTTCTGCCACAAAAAAAAATTAAGGTTGTCAGAATTTTAAGGATTTTAAATGGAAATTTATGTAAAAAGGAGTGAATTTTGAAAAAAAATGAAAGACACAATTGTTTGCAAAATAATGTCAATGAAAATAATACTGCCATAGATTAGTATTGCATTAATGTATATGAATTTAATAAATGCTGAAATTGTGTAAAATGAATTATCTGTAAACGATTAAAAATTGACATTTTATAATAAAACCATATACACATAGTAATTGCATGTAAGAGTTATCTGTCTTGGAAAACTTCACAGTAGTGAAATAGGTAGCCGGTTTCCTGAAGTAAAGAAAAATGGACACATGTGACTCATTGATAATAAACAACTGAATTAATGCCTGGATTGCTTTGAAATACTTTAATATTGAGAGAACACACTGTTCTGTCAATAATAAACATACAATATTCATCAGCTTAATATTAAACATTAGAATATGAGGAAATTGTGATACTGTCTCCCTACATTGGATTTTCAACTAGGGATGTACTACCTATTTCCGTTTATCAATACACTACTATTCTATTATGGCCCTTTCCCGAGGGAAAGGGTCATAATAGATTTAGTACATCACATGACTGTACTAACTGTGACTGCAAATTGTGTCGCCTGCTTCGTTTTCATACATTGCTGAGCCTCTGCAAAGCAATCGGCATTCCCGGTCCCGAATCTCGAAGCCATTTTGGCAGACGACAACAATGAACTGAAAGTAGAATATGTACAGCGCCCCCTAGGAGAAGGGGCGCAACTCTTGGCGTCACGCTACTTTTCCCGCAGTCTCAGCGGTCCAAAAAAAAGGTATAGTGCCCGTCTCCAGGTATAGTTACCGTCGTCAAGGGCGGATGCTAACTATACCAAATAGAGCAAGGGTAGTTATCCAATAGCTATCCTAGTAATTATCATGTGATGTACTAATATGACCTTAACATTTGCTTGCTCATTTTCATCATTGTTAGTGCAAGGGAGACAATTCACATTCTGATTTTTCTTGCAGTATCCCCGCGAAGATTCAAGTGTTGTGCAGGCCCTAGAAAGTCTATCAGACTCTCAAGTAAGTATTAGATTGAGACAGGCATAAACATTGTAAGGTATATATTTATCTGTTTCTATTGTTTGGAGTAATACATCAATCTTGGCATGTTTCTGTTTCTAGTAAATTTACATTTACTTTCTCTTTTAAGATATTTCTTAATTTAGACTATTATCAATTCATTTGTAATTCTTTAACTGTAACCATACTTAACCGTTTTTCCCAATTTTGTTACAGGTGAATGATTTCCTGTCTGGTCACGCCCCACTGGTGCTTGCAATGCGGGTTGGTGACCACATGATGTTTATACAGTTGCAGCTGTCAACTTCTCAGTGTAGTGGCCGTCGGGCTCGCCCCACCCCTGTGGTGGTCCCCTCCCCCGGGCAGATCTCTGACCACCAAGAGATTCCCTCCCCAACTGCTCCTCACGGCAGTCATACCCTCTCCCAGAACATCAGTCAGTTCTCAAACTTCCCCGCTACTGCTCCACAACAGGTTGGTATCTTATATACAAATCCAAAATCACGCAAACCACCATTGTTGAATTCAAAAGTTTAAAATACGAATACTCATATATGATAATATGAAAAACCAATTTTAAAATAAAGAATAATAAAAAAAAAATGAAATGTTATATTTATAGTAATAATTGCAATGAATAAGATTTCCCTTCATCTAACAAGAATGACTTTTAAGTAGTATAATCATCCTGATCTAGTACCCAAACAAATTACTTTTGTATTCAGCATACCACCAAACCTGGAGAATCTGAAGTTCTGTCCTCGAGAACCAGCCCTGTGGGACCATTCTTCTCTTCATCTCCCCAGCCTAGCCCCACCCCCCCTCCATCTCCAACCCCGGCCAATGGGGCAGTCATTGAGAGCATGCACCATCTTGGGGGTGGAGTCTATTCTGGAAAATTCTCTGGTAAGTGGGCTGTTATAAAGTTTAGCATGGAATCATGACTGATGTTATGTTTTACCTCCCTTGAAGGATGTGATCAGCTATTATGAAAAGTAATTTTTAAAGATCTAAGCATAACACACAAATAAGTTTGCATATATATGTAGAACATACATGTACAACCTTTACTCATGATCTTTGACCTTAAAAACTTATCTGGATCATTTTTGCCACTGAGAAATTTTTAATTGTTGTGAATGACATTTGGATGTAATTTACTTTTCTCGCCTACACTGTAAATATGTAATGCTTGTGTAGGTACTCTGGACCCAACCCTGCAGGACCAGGGAGGGCGGCCCCGGCGAGATATCAGTACAATTATCCATATCCTCAATGACCTGCTTGGAGCCTCCCCACAGTATCGGCAGGGACTGACAGCCCAGCACCCCCAAACCTCTTCTTCCCATCTCCATAGCCAATGTAAAGGTAAGTCACTTTACCTGTAATTTGCATCACATAGTAATTGGTGATTTTATGTTTTTAAATAAGAACATCAACATTTTGACATGCATTAGAAACGTCGGTTTAAATTTCTTTCTGAAAACAATTTCAAACCATCAGGTTGCATTGTCCTTATCTCCCTGATTTTTCTTAGAATATAGGAAACTGGAAAAAATATTTATTTGGCCTATCCTGACTATGAAACTTCACAAAAAATAATAATTGTGAAACATTATCTATATACTGTACAAATCCTGTTTTGCCCTTTTATGAATATTTCATCAGACTTGATGTTGATGTACTTGTACAGGAAACCACAGACAAGATCTTCGCAGCAATGAGAAGCCAGATGATTCAAAACTGAGAGAGAAAGTTCAACAACTCAAAAGAATGATGGAAGAGCGCAAATTCCGTCGCCGCGAACGACGGGATGTCCGAGCCCCATATCAGTGGCAAAATCGCAATTTCAACTGTGGTCAAGGTCATGAATGCATCCATGGCAATAACAAAATTCAAGGTCAAGGTCATAATGACAAAGAAGCCACAGAGGATGGAGTCCCTTGTTGCTCTGGTTACCAAGGCAACGGCAGCAGTATTGAGCAAGACACTCTAGCTGTATGAAGAGGATCATAGCATTTGGCCTACGGTCAGTTTTCCCCATAAAACTGACATACTTGTTTGTCAGTTTGGTTGAGTGCCATGTTCTGTTGGTGCTTGGTAACTTTTTTACACCAATTTGTGCCATAGAAGTCTAGCTGAAGCCGTTCTTGTCACAAAGAAGACGGATGCTCGTGACCATGTAGGATGTTGTTCACAGTGTGGAGCACGCGCAAGAGTTGTAGCTCCACCTCAGCATTGCACACATCCCTAGCCAGCCCTGAACCAATGGGGCGTAGGGTCCCTTCAGGACACGAGGCAATGTTGGCTTGGTGGGTTTTATTGTCTATTGCCTCCGGCTGTTCACCTCGTACAGGTGACATGGGGTAGATTTATTTGTATGGGTTTGGGATATCTAAGGAAGTCTCTTCTCACAGAGCTAGAGAATGACTGGGTGCTGCAGCATTAAGACAGTAAAGGCAGATTATATTGACACGTACAACAATTAGCCACTCTCATTATAGCAAGATACACAGATTGTAGCGCAGAATCTCATAAATGACATGTCATAATAAAACCATATCTCCAGTTTGAGGTCAAATACTAATAAAAAACAATGCTGTTTTTCTTATTAAGCAGATAATTTTATTTCACAATTAGGTTTGTTAGATATTTGTGAAATACAAGTTTATACTTGATTTACGATGTTAGACACATTTTTATCAGAATTTTATCAAAAATAGAAGTCATATTTGTTTAAAAAATCAGCGATTAAATTTGTGAGGTTTCAGGATAGATGCATTGGATTATTTGAGGATCACGTACATATTTTAATATAGTTGCCCTGGTCAAGAATAGAGAGTTGGTCAAGAAGATTACTTGCATTTTGTACATTTATTAAAAAATCTGTCTCAGCGGTTTGCAGTGAAATGTGTACGAGTAGCAGAAAGCGAAAGAACTGGTTTGTGGTACTTGACAGTACCTATTGGCCTACACCAGCTCCTAGGGGACAGGTGGACCAATCTGTAAATAGCTGTATCCTTGTGTCGCTATACTGTAGACATGGATTTGGAATTATATCAAATGCATACGTACATTAATATGACTGTATTTAATTCATGGCGTTTTCCATTGCTCTTTTAAACTTTAAATGCTTATACCCTTCCATACATGTTGATACCAGTTTCTACCCAATATGCAAAGTCTGAAAGAAAGATTTTAACTTGTTGTCTTGTTATCTCCCCTTCCCATTGAACTTGATGTGTTGGTGTCAGGTTATGAAACACTGGAAGTATTAACCCCCTTGTATTTTTATTGATCATGTACATTTAGTAATCTCTAATTGTGGATGTAATCACCTATGAATTATCAAGATGGTATGAGCACAGGATGCATCTTGTACATATAATAGCTTTCCTATACATTGAAGTGAATATGGGTACAAATTTTATTTTTCCCAAAAAATCAATCAATATGTTTCATAATATCTTTGGCAATAATATGGTTTTATTGATGTGATAAAGGACTTCCTTCACGGAATCTGAAAATTTGTGTTAACTGTTTGCATGCTTGAAGGTATCAATACCTATCTCGCGCTATTTTGTTGTACCTTTATATCGGAATACTAATTTTCCTTACCTGCTCTTGTCACTGCACAAATTAATGTTTAATTTCGAAAAAATAAATAAAAAAAATGAGGATTTTTTTTTTTATATAAATGGCACCTGATTGTAATCCAGATAGTTTGTGTAAGATATATTTCAAATTATTTTTATGAATTGTAAGATTTTGTATAATATTGTGTTCGATTACATTTATCCTAAAAACCTAAATCACGTTTTATGATATACAAATGTTTGTTTTTTTGTTTTTTTATTGCACTGTTTGTTACCGTTATATATATACTGTTATGGTGTGTGGTTTTATATACCTGGTGTGTGTATGTTACCTTACTGATCAGTCATATCAAATTTATTTGACAATTTTGCAGACGAGTCTACTTAAAATATAAAAAAAAATGTACAAAGCACCAGGTATATGAGATAATGATCATAATTTTTTGTTGAGGGTATGCAAGTTCAGAAATCTATTTCTGATGAGAATATTTGATGTTTTGCATGTTTGAACAGTTTTCTTCGAATAGATAAAATTAATACCAATTTGTTGTGATCATAGTAATTACTGTCATATCCTTGTTAAACTGATACAGTGTAATAAATTGTCAAACAGAACATAAAGCCAAATTGAAGAAATTAATGTGAAAACAATTAATTAAATGAAGTTGTATTTTATTAAAAGAATAGAAAGAAATTGTTGAACTTGTTAGATCTGTTTAAATGTAAACTTGTTGTTACGTTCCAAGAATCTGAGTGAGTTGCCTGGAGATGAGAAAGCCAGGATAAACTGGTACTCTTCTACAGACATTGCTTTACCTTCGGGAAAGTCGGCAAATATTTAACCCTTTTTAGATAAATAACCATGACTGTTCTGGTTGTTCCAAGATTTGTTATACCAGGCCAGTAATTGTGTGAATGTGTGTCTGTCTACATACCATTACCTTGACCCTATATTCAATGTTGTTATTTCTATGTAAATTTATTAAGTCTGTGTTTCAACTAGACTTTATTCTGGTACGTTATAGTCCGAGGAACGTAAAGTTACGCACACATTAACTTGTATTGAGCTACCTTGCCATTTTCATATCAAACAGAAAATATTGGAAATATTCCCCATGTGTCAATATATAATGTGTATGTATACCCTTTTTGTTAGTGCTATGTTTTTCTCCTGATATGGGTTGAGCGCTCGTGATCTGGTGGTGTCATGTAATTTAATAATGGCTCAATCTAAAAGATATTATGTAAAAAAAAATAAAAAAAATTGAAGGGCTGGTCCAGCCCTTCAATTATTTTAGCCTCACTACCATTGAATACAAATATTTTAATTTATACCTTTTTTAAATCTCAACATATACCAGGGTACCAAGAAGTCAATAGATTTTTGTCAGTAAAATTATCAGTAATCTTTTAAAATCCTATGTTGTCATGAATTTCACTGAAAAAAAAAGAAAAGAATTGGCATTTATTGCCGCTAAGTTAATCCTGTTTAATACATTAATGTGGCTGTTGAAAAGCTGGTTAACTTTATAATTTAATATAATATCACTTGTATAAATGTCTTCTCTTGACATTTCCTGAAAATCCAAATTTATCTGTCTTTTATTTCCATTTGATAAATGCAATTTCTGTTTTGAATTGAAATATTTTAAAATATGTCTTGGACAAAATGTTTGCATTCATCTCATTAGCCTTTGAACAACAAGACCTTGGCCATTAAATTATAGGGGGTATATCTCAGAATGGTTATGGAAATTGCAAGGACAATGAGCATCGTTCCATATGATGATAAACGACATAATGATTCATAATAAAGTTTTATTTGGGGTCAATAATGGCTACACATAGTAGTTTACGAGTTTCCCCTGTTCACACTGGAACTAGGTGTTTCCTATTCTTGTGCCAATAATGACCAGCTCATGTCTGTTAACATGTGTCTATATAGTTGGAGAGTCAGTTTTATATATTTAAACATTATTGTACAAGTGTTGTAAGTGTGATTTATGCCAATACAGCAAACAAGGGTAGTAGTTAATGTTTGTGGTACACAATGTATACAAAGAATGTTAGTTCAATTTCGTGATATATATATAATGTAGATAGCAGGAATATTGATTTGAATTTTTTTATTTTTTCAACAAGAGAAACATAGTTACTTACACAGAATGTTTGTTTTCATATCAACAAAATTAATCATATGTATTGAACCCTTTTTTTTGGGTAAAATCTATGATATTTTGCTCGATTTTTGACTTTTATATCTATTTGTGCCGTAAATCATCCATTACCCCATCTTTGTTTTTGTGGTTACCATGGCGACAATCCATTTTTCATCAGTATAGTTTATTTCATGTTAATAATAGATTTTTTGTCATTATTTGTTCAACTTTTCTTTGAAATTTCATGTGTATTTTTGATAAACATGTCTAGAAATTTGAAGATTAATCGTTTAAATATATTTGGCACATTTTATAAAACTTCAAAGAATTTAAATTATATTGAAGTTGGAACCATTGTAAGTTATCTCTAGAAATTCAGTAGGGACACATTCAACACCGGTTGCAATCTTTACCCAATTCACCAATGTAGACCACAATTGACTGGACAAGATCAATGCATAGAGTGTGCGAAAGTTACATAGGGTTGAAAGGGTTAATATAATCAGAATACAAGTATGTGTATCTAGTATGTGGTCATCAATCTAACAGGAACATGCCCATTGGTCTGGTGGTGTGTAACAGTTAGGAATTTGAATTTTTATTCAGACATGTCTGGCTTTCATATTTAGTATTCATAGCTGATCAAGTCAGTTGTGATTTTGTTCAGGTATATATTATTTTTATATTCTCCATTTTAATCATCATTAAGCTTAAATAATATTGTAGTTTTTCCATTAAATATTGATAAATAAAAAATATATATTTAATTATATTAATAAATTTCCTCACATTTTACAATACTGCCATCACATATTGCACAGAGCATAGTGTTAAAATGTGCATATTTCTTTAGTTGTCAAGCTGGTAAGGCCCGAGGGAGGCATGAGTTTTCAACAGCCAAGTCATTGAAAGCCTTAAGAAGCTTTGAAAGATTGTCTTTTATTAAATTCCCTTTTACACTCTTAATACATATATAAGCATTTAATTCTGTATGATTGCAATGTTGTCCTTACTTCCAAATCTCAGATGTGTTTCCTCCGAGTTTCTTTTAACATAATAAAATAAATTGTCTTTGAAATTTCGTCCATGACTTCAAATATAGAAAATGCTGATATCTTGTTTCAGTTTTATTGTTTTAGATTGTTCACACATGACATACAGACAGCAGTTAATAAAAACGTTCAAAATATATAAATAGATATTGTGTTGTGATTTAGACTGTTACAGTGTACATTATAGGTCCATGTTGGACATTTTTATTACCTGGCACTCTATACCTGAAGAACCTGTTTTTTTAAAGATCTCAACTTATTTCAATTGTCTGACCTCCAAGAAAAATAATCTGACCTCCAAAATTGATTGAAGTGTTTAAAACGAACACAGACTTTCATACAACCAAACGCTCAATAACTACTGTGACAACTGTTTGAATTTCATCCAAGCGAAAAGCATTTCCTTCTCTGAAATACCAGAATATCAGACATACCTTTCCAAACTGTATGCAAAATAATATCACCTAACGAATCCGGACACTGCTCAATATAATTCCGCATAATAATGATAATAATAATAAGAGGCCCAGAGGGCCTGTATGCTCACCTGGATACCTAAGCAATCATGGCACACTATTCTCCAAATGAGATCAAGGGAATATGCCAGACCCCAAGGCCAATCCTTGTAGCATAGCTATATTAGATTTTTCATGCCCAGCAATTTAATGTATGGTTATGGGGTGAGGATCTCAACTGTTTCCAAGCTTTGACTCAGAAACTCAGAATCTAATATCGTGACTGCATTTGTCTCTTTTTGCCAAGCATTTGTATATATAGTTTTCGGGTGGGGATCTCAACCGTTTCAAAGTTATGACCCAGGGGCCAAGTCTGCAAGGGTGGGGCAGACCCTGGGATCAATTCTAATGTCATGACTGCATTCGTCTCTTTATGCCCAACAATTGTATATATAGTTTTGGGGTGGGGATATTAACCATTTCAAATTTATGACCCAGGGGTTAAGTCTCCAAGGGTGGGGCAGTCCCCAAGGCCAACCTGGAAGCATATGTGCAATCATCTCTTTATACTCAGCAATTGTATATAT